AATCGGGGCGGGGCGGCTCGGGGAGACGATAACCCACTCCCTACCCCGAACCCGATAAAAAACCCGATAACGACCCGTTACCCAACCCGAAATGATCGGTTTTCGGGTTTTCTCATCGGGTTCGGGCTTTTTTGCCATCCTTAATGTTTTAGAACCCTATTGGAGTTATTTTTGAAGAATTCAAGTGTTTGTAAGTGATCGGGACCTTCCAATGCAAGAACGAGTGAAAATGGACGAAAATGGAGCAAAAAACGAAAAATCGGAGCCAAGTTGTGCGCGACCCCCATGCCCTTGCTTGGGTGGTCTGCGCGGGTGAGTCTGATAAAAAAGGAGCCCGCTTAGGGCCATTTTCCTAATCGCAACCCAGCTGGAATTCTCTCCACGTTTGAATTAATTTGTTTGCGTTTATCCCTAATTTTTTGTTAGACTTTTACTCATATCCCAATTCCTAGTTTATGGGATTTAATTTCCTTTAAATACTCTGGACATTTTTGTTGATAGATGATTGATTATTAAATAAAGAAAGAATTCCCAACATGTTCTTATTAATCCAATTTGATTGCTAAGAATATTGCATCAGAAATATTTTGGATAATGAATGGTTTCTGCTGTGAAATTTGTGATAATTTTAACACTTTCAAATAGATGGTGAATAAAGTGATAGATCGAGAATCTAATGTGTTCATAAAAAGTTAAATGGCGTTGATGTGATAATAAAACGGTTGGTAGGGAATAGTTGGTTGGTGAGAGTTTGGTAGGCCAATTAATATATGTGAGTTATAGTGTATTCAACAACTTTACTGTTAATACTCACGAAATGGTGTGGACGGCATCTCATGTGGCTTGGATGGTAAACCTGAAACATTCCACTGCCCCTAGGGACGACATGCCAATAAAAATTGAAGACATGACCTCTCTCTCTCTCTCCCCACACACACACACACTATTCCTTAAGTATGTCAAAAACATGACAAAATGATATAGAGCCTAGATAGAATGGTTGCCAATGGCACCATTCCGTTTACCGTTTGATTATGTTTTCATAAAATATATTGTTATAAGCATATGAAGAAAAGAAAAAAAAAGAAAAACATTAAATTCACATCGAAAATAACATTAAAACACTACTTGTTCATTTTTGTTAAGAGCCATGTTCCTAATAGTAAGTTTCGTTAATGTTTATATATAAAAGTTTGGACAAACAAATTACATGAATGTTAATTGTCTCTTTTGATTCCCAACAATTTCAAATTATTTAAATGAGAAAAAAAATTACAGATTAATATCATAAGAAAAATAGAGTAATATCAATGGTTAACACCAAAAATTATAACAAACATATAATTCCTATTTCATAACCATCTTAAGTTTAACCAAAATACTTTTAAGAAAAAATTGAATTTTAATTAACAAATAATTACACTTTTAAAGTTGATCTCATGATTCCCTTTTTGTTATAACAAAACTAATTGTCTAACTAAAGAAAATCATTCAAAACGCTTATCTTTTGAACGGTTATCACATATGTACTTTACTTATTCTATTTTTGAACTACATATTTAATCTAACTTTATGTAATAAAGTTATGTACATAAGAACTCTATATGCAGATGTTCATATTTAATAAAATTGTACTTTAATCGATAAAAAAAAACTGTATTTTTCAATCTTCTCGTATTAATGGAATACACACACCATTATTTTATGTAAAAAGGGAATCTTCACGTTTTGGTGAACAAGGAGTGAAGGACACAACAAAAAAGTTATTCTCCCTCCGTCCCAAAATTATAGTCCATCTTTCATTTTTGGTTTATCCTAAAATAATAGTCCACTTCTAAAAATAAATAACATTTTTACCAAAATACCATTTCATTATTACTTAACCAAGTATTTAATAAAACATTAAATGTAAAGTAAGGACAAAACTGTCATTTTGTTGTATAAAGTTAATGATAATTAATGTTTTCTTAATCTGTGTGTTTTTTTGTATGTGGACAATAATTTTGGGACGGAGGGATTATTTGTTATCAAACACTATTGTCCCTTCTCTTAGGAAAACCCTACTAGACCATTATAAAATTCATTTGGACCTTTCTATTTATAATATTGGATTCTTTTTAGGCACATCTAAAGGACACATTTTGCTTTTATAATTATATTCCCCAAGACTTTTGTAGTTTTGGTCAATAGCCAAGTGCGTTTAAAGTTATAAATAATAATAAAAAAAAGAAAAAAGACAAATTATAAGAGATCAAAAAAGAGCTCCATCAACACCTTTGGATCAAATTCATTTGATGACCAATAACTATTTCCCCTGATCTTTCATCATCAAAAAACCAAGGAAAAAAAATAACAAGTGAGATCTGGAGCATTCAAAAAAGAAAAGAAAAAAACACATGAGAAACAATTACAAAAAGTTTATTAGGATATGTGATTTCAATACTTGATTCACCAGTAATTACCAATATAACATATTCACAAAGAACATGGTCCAATCGACACATATCATATATCTACAAGGAAAATACAAAAACGACCCACCCACACTTAAAAAGAAAACTAACTACTTGGGGCTAATTTTCACTTTTATTCATAAAACACACACACACCACACCACCACCCGACCTTTTTTTTTTTGTTTTTTTTTTGCTTACACCCACTTCTGAGCCATTGCATTACCCGAGCTGCCCGAACTGCCCGCTGCCAACAAAGCAATCAATCTTCCACCATGAACCCTCCCTTCCACACTCTGTCCACCCACCACAACCCCAGGCTGGACCCCAAACGGTTTAAACCCATGTGACATCACATCAGCTGCAACCGGTGTAGGAAACAACACTTGCTTTGTGTTCTGGTTAGGTACCATTTCATGAACCAGGGTCCCCAAGGTGGCACCACCATGGACCCGTTTATCCTGAACCAAAGCCCCATGAGCCGTACACAACCCGGTCTTCCCTCTCGCAAACGAATTACAAACATCATCTTCATTATTATTTCCATATTCTGACCCCGGTTGACCCCACACACACCTCTTCCCACCACCATGCGCCTTGCAAAAATCCGTACTCCCTTGTGCACTCTTCCCACACCCTCCAAACTGACACCTCTTACCGCCACCATGGCGGACACAACAATCCGTCCGCCCCCTCGCACTTCTCGTACACCCCGGAACCGCACACCGCTTCCCGCCGCCATGCGCAACGCAAAATAGGGTTCCGCCGTGAACACTCTTAGGACAAACACCGCCACCGTCAAACGCGCACCGCTTTCCACCGCCGTGTCCTTTACAAAAAGGCGTACTCCCCTCCGCGCCCTTCGTGCACCCTTCAAAAGTGCACCTCTTGCCGCCTCCATGGGCTTTACAGAACATGGTGCTTCCCTGAGCGCCCTTCGTGCACGCCGGAAACTGACACCTCCGGCCACCGCCGTGCGAGATGCAGAGACCGGACAGGCCTTCCGCGGATTTCGTGCAGTTGTCCATCTGGCACCGCTTACCGCCGCCATGTCGGATGCATAACCCGGATTTACCTCTGGCGGCGCGTGTGCAGCCGTCAGTGCTGCACCTCCGGCCACCACCGTGGGCGATGCAGTAATCGGTGCGGCCTTCTGAGCTTTTGGTGCAGCCTAAAAACTCGCATCTCCGGCCACCGCCATGGGCTTTGCAGTAGGCGGTGCGGCCCTCGGCTCCTTTGTGGCAGCCGGGTTTTTGACATCTCCGGCCGCCGCCATGGGCGATGCATAGGCCGGAAGCGCCTCGTGCGCCCTTCTCGCATCCTTCGAATTGGCATGTTTTTGTGGTCCCGGTTCGATGCTGATGTGGCTCTGTGTTACCGGATGAACATGTGACTGAACTTGATGGCATGGTTGTAATTTCTGATGTGGCATTATGGTTAAAAATGTGAACAGTTGTGACATCAGACTCAGCTGGTGCAGAGAAGAGGCTCAATTCCAGGTCAACCTCCATTGATGGTTTAGTGAAGGTGGAGGGTTTTTTAGTGACAGGTGGCTTTTCACCACCAAGATGGAGACTGAAATCCAGTTCAAGATCCATTGATGACTCTTCATCGGTTTCTTTCTGAGAAGACATGGTGGTGCATCCAGTGGCGGAACTCGCCTTGCTGTCAGATGAGCTTGGAGAATGGCCCAGCCAAAGGGATAATGGCAACCCGGTTTGCAAATCCATTGACCCGTTGACCGAATTCCATTTCCGTTTGACTCCTTTTGAAGACTGGAATGAAGGATTCCCGAAACCAGGGGAATCCAATCGTAATATGGTGTCTGTAACATAACCAGGTCCAGACAAATAGTTTGCTGTATTACGGAACCTGGGATCCATTGAAGCTGTATGCAAGTTTCTCTGATTTGACTTTGGTCAAACCTTATTAGTAAAAGAACGGGTGAACTAACTTTTGGGCTAAAAAACTAGAGTATGGTAATTCTAAGCTATGGATCTAGGGCTATCAGCTATGTATATCTCAAATACAATACTAGGGTTAGCTGTCAACTTTGTTGAGTGAATTGCAGTTGCACCCCCCACTGACAAAACCAGAAGTATCACGTCGATCCATTTGCTTATATTTTAATCTGGAAATAAATCAATTAGCTATCGTTGCTGATAAAGGCCCACAAGAATGATCCAGCACTGCTTCTTGAATTGTTCATCCTGTTTCAATAAGTTACATGAGAATATGAGATGGAGATATACACAACATACAAAATCACCATAGGATCTAACGAATGGAGAAACTATAGCAAAACATAGATTATAAAGCTTCAGTACAACCGGAGGTAACTGAAAATAAGATTCAGATCATATAAAATCATCGTCTATAATGCAAATGGATCTTTCTTGAAGAGATATGACAAGATTATTAGGTATTTATGTGATAAATAAAGCATCTTCCACTATTAGAGTTGAACCTAAAAAAGTTGGTTTAATAGGGTCTTTCCAGATGCCTATAAAAGAGAAACGCAACAAGACCTCTGTGTCTACTTGGGCTATGTGAACAAGAATACGATAAGATCTGCCTTCTGATAAGGTAAAGTACCACAACTACGCACAAAACATAAGGGGATCGTTGAAGTCAAAACTCTGGATCTGAAACAAGAAGCAGCAAGTTCACTAAAATCGAAACTTTCTAGCAAACTGGGCATGAAAGCAGAAATCAGTGTCGTCGTCAAAAATTGATATGATATAAGCAGTCTATGAGGACCTATTCGGCTATTCCCCTCTCCGTTTTCCAAACAGAATAGCTAAACAAATACAATCAAGAAATCAAAAAAGTATAAACCAACAGATGCTGAAAACTACTCTATCGGTGTCCTGTCCTGTAGCAGAGAGAAGAATTATTGATACGAGTACAGGTTTCGTGAACGGTAAACAGCGCACGGAATTACACGCGGTGTAATATCTAAACTACATTCGTAAATCATAAACGTTTACTTTATAAGATCATTATAAAGTAAATGAATCACAAAAGCAAGCTCAAGTTCAGACTTACCACAAAGTTTCTTTTAGTTCTTCTTCTTCTTCTTCTCCGATCAAAAGATGAATCAACAACACTTGCAACAATCAATCTATCATTACAAAAGAGCAAATCAGTGGATACATAAAACTCAATTTTAAACCGTGAACAATCTGAAGTTTCAATTTTCAACAATCAAAATCAATCCAACCACAAAAATCAAATCACGATAAGACGATTAAAACATACAAAATAAACAAATCGACATATTTTGAAGCTAAATCAAGGAATAAAACAGCCAATAAAACAATATACTGAACCAAAAACAAGCAAATTCAAGCACGGAAATTCAGAATTTACCTCGAAATCCGCTTGATTTCGTAGCGATGAGAGAGAGAAGCGATTTAGGGCTTTTGAGGCGCCGGCTAACGATACAGAGCGAAATAAGATTTGTACTTCGTATATATACACCAAGAGATATAGAGAGTGCGTGTGGAAATTTATTAATGATGACAAAAAAGTGGCGCACGATAAAAATATAGGGCGTAGGTTAAAGAGCATGTTTTAATGTTCTACAACCTTTTTCCTTTACTCCTCAAAAAATATTTAAAAAGATTAATTTTTGGTATTTTGTAAACTACTATCTCCAGAGCAGAAGTCTTTGTTGCCAGAGCAATCCTAAAGGTTGAATTTTAACACATTTAATTATTTCAAGGTCAATACACCGTGAAATTAATGAAGTTTATAAATTATTATAATTTATTTATTGTTTGTTAATTTAGAAAAATAATTTATCATCTTTTATAAACTAGTAAGTTTCTAAAAAACTATTTTGAAATAATTTTTAAGAATCTTATAAAAAAAATTAAAAATATTTTAAATATATCTTTTATTATATTTAATGCTACAATTTTAGTTATATATATTTAAATGTTCATTTATGTCATTTTATATTTTCAATCTAACTTATTATCTATTTTTTTTACCATATATTATTAATTAATTAACTAGTTTATCGGTTATCAACTAACGTTTCAGCTAATAATTAGTTTTCATTTAAAGTTATTATTCCAAATATGTCTAAGAGCATCTCCAACGCACTCTTATTTTCCATTTTTTCCTCCGTTTTTTTCTTATTCATCTCCAATCTTCCCCATTTTTACCTACTAATTATAATTTAAATGTAATATTTAATACTTATAATATTTTGTTATATATTAAATTATATTAATTACTTATAAATATAAAGTTTGTTTTTTGTTCATCAAATCCATATAAAAAGTAAAATACATATTGAAATTTTAAAAAACGATAACGTAGTTTACAAAAGCTTATAAGTGTGTTATAAATATAATATTATTTATTTAATATTATTGTAATGGAAAAAATATAGATTATATGTTTGTTAGAACTAAATTAGTATAAGTGTGTTTAACAATCTATGTAAGTTTGAAGAAGGAAATATACAAGGAATATACTTTTTGAAATAAAAAATGGGTAAAAAATGGAATGAGATTCGAGATGAAACACTATTTAACCAATATTTTATTCCATTTTTTTTGGGGGGGGGTGAATGGAAGTGGGTAGTTTATAAGTTGATTTACTGTATTTTAATTTTCGATAAGCTCCAAAGAGATAAGCTAGTTTATAAGTTGATTTATTATAATTTAATTTTTTATAAGACTTTAAAAATACCTTATCATAATTTATTGATAAACTAATGAGTAAATTATACGAATGGTCCTTTAGCTTTACAATTTTTCCCTGATATGGTCCCTACAAAACTTTTTTCCCTGAGATAGTCCCTACGGAGCAAACCTTGCACACAAAATGTACTTATGACTAACTCTGTTAAAAGATTCTGTTAAGTAATTATAAATGACGAAAATAACCTTTATGTTTTTCACACAAATGGTCCTTATGACACACACACACTCTCTCTCTCTATCTCTCTCTCTCTCTCTCTCCTAATTTCACCACCACCACCACACTCCGATCATAACAACTGTGATTGAATCCGGGTCGATTACGAAATTCTCCATTTGTTGATAAAGATTAACTGCATCTCTAGGCATCGAGTTATTGACATATAAAACTATCATTACATTCCAAGAAATTAAACTCTCTCTAGCGTGATTCATGAACATTTCTTTCATAAACATTACGTTGGTAGACGAAGTAGAAGTTGTTACAGCAGGGGAAAGGCTAGCCATGGGGCATGCATTTGGTTTTAAGGTAGAACATTGCATCATTGTCTTACAAATCTCCAACGCATCATCAAACATCCGATTTTGGGTGTAGGAAGCAACTATAGCATTCCAGAAGATGATATCTCTACTAGGCATTTCATCAAACACATGGTGTCCTTCCAGTAACCGATTACATTTTCCATACATTGTAATCAATCCATTTCCTACATAATGATTTGAATGCAGACCCTTTTTGAGAACAGAAATACAAAAGGATCCCCAAATCAGCAACTCGATTACTCAATTAGTTTGCTAAAATAAATCGAGGAAGAAATTGAAGAGTGGCTTACACATTGAAGGTGCCAGTCACAATGTCGTTGGCAGACCTAACAGTCGATTCAATATCAAACGAACCAACGAGGCTACTAGAGCCTACGTCGGAGCCTTTTGTAGCAGCATACGAATTCCAAGCTGCTAGCAGCGACGAAAATGAAGACGACAACGTCTTTGGAAGTGAATTATATCCGCCACTGTCACCGTCGACGGCGGAAAACCAATTTTGCATCTTTCAGTTTTGAATCCAAACTGTTGTGCTCGATTTGAATTTGGGATCGGAACTGAAAACCAGTTGCTCGAAGGATACAGGTGATGTTGTTGGAAGCCTATTCACCTACTGGTTAGTTATGTACTAGTAGATTCTTCTGTCAACAGAATATTATGGGGAAAAATAGCCCTCGGCCGAAGTTCTTTGCACTGCATGGTGGGAGCAACTAATTTATCTCAAATTTGGTTCGACTGTTAGTTTTCAAGTTAAGTATCGGTGCTTTTGGAAGCTTTTTTGAGCAAGTTGTTCTCATGTAATCTTTATCAACAAATGGAGAATTTCATAATCGACCCGGATTCAATCACAGTTGCTATGATCAGAGTGTGGTGGAGGATTGGTGGTGGTGAAATTAGGAGAGAGAGAAAGAGAGAAAGAGAGAGAGAGAGAGAGAAAGAGAGAGAGAGATAGAGAGTGTGTGTATGTGTGTGTGTGTCATAAGGACCATTGTGTACAAAAAATAAAGTGTATTTTCGTCATTTATAATTACTTAAGAGAATCCGTTAACAAAGTTAGTCATAAGTACCTTTTGTGTGCAATGTTTGCTCCGACTATCTCAGAGAAAAAAGTTTCGTAGGGACCATATCAGGGGAAATTGTAAAGTTAAATGACCATTCATGTAATTTACTCTAAACTAACTTTCCAGCTAACGTGTCGAATATGGTCTAACACAAAATGCCAATTAACTACTACATTGAAATAAATTTAAAGGACGATAAAATAAACAGATTAGTGAAATTGGTAAAATTTAAATATAAGTTAAACCATTATGTTATCAAAAAGTAATATATTATCGATTAAAATATTGTTTAATAAATTTTAGACGATTTTTTTTCTCATAATTATATATGAAATATTTATTAGTAAATGAAACATGAGTTGTCTTTTTTTTTTGGAACCAACAGATGTATTAAAAAGCCATTGTCTTTAAAGAAGAAAAAGACAGGGCAAAAAGAAGAGTACACAAGAAGAAATTACAAATTTTGAGAAAGATTACAACACCGATCACCCAAATTTCAATTTCCAAAAGTACCCCTATATTTGAGCCAACCGAAAACCTCCGTAAGAATGTTGTCCACTTGAACCATGGAAGAGATCCGCACCTTGTTGAAGACTTTGTTATTCATAGCTTCACATCCATTCCATAAGAAAACATACAAGATGGCAATAAAAGTCTTTCTCTTTTTAGGACATCGGCCCCATTGAGCAACAAATAGAACTAACTCACCCACCGAGTTAGCGGAAGCCGAAGGGATATTACACCAATTCCAAATCCAAAACAAGGCATCACGAACTAAAGAACAACCCAACAAAACATGGTCAGTCTCGTCCACCCCAGAGGTACACCATTGACAAGTAGAAATTACATTGTGAATCCCTCTTTTATTCATGGCAGTGGTGGTAGGTATACGATCAAAACATGCCCTCTAAACAAAGCATGTAACTTTGGAAGGAACAAAGTGAATCCAAATTGTGGGGTTGTTAACAATATTTGTTAATCATAATTTAACATTACTTATGCATTAACAATATTTCTTAATCATAATTTCATAATTTGGATTGATCATAATATTTTCATCTGTTTTTATTTAATTATTTATAATAAGTATTATTTTCAAATGAGTCAAATCTTGTGAATAAGTTGATGTTTATTGGTGATTTATGTAGATTTTTTTCAGAAAAATTAAGATAATAATATCTGAATATTCTTTACTCATGAAGTAAAAGAATTTTTTTGTTTAATTATTAAACATAAGCTAAATGTCTTTCCTTTGGGGGTCGGATGACTCTGGTTAAAGCAGTTTTGGGTTCGATTTCCAATTACTTGATGTCCATTTATCCTGGGCCTCTAACTGTGATAAATCAGTTGGAGAGATTGAGATCTACGTTTTTTTGGGGTGCTGATTTGGATGATCGTCGTATGAATTGGGTTAGATGGGATAAAATCCTGGCCCCTAAAGATGTTGTAGGTTTGGGGATTGGTAGTCTTTTTGCCTTTAACAGGGCTTTATTACTATGTTGGAAGTGATGGTTTTTTCATAACCCAAATTTATTATGGTTTAGGGTGGTAAAATTATTTATGGTTTGGGGGAGTCTACAAATCCTTTGATTCCAAGGAGACATTTGATGGGTCCTTGGAATGGTATTACAAGGATTGTAGATAATCTCAAAGACCGGGGCTTTGACTTCCATAAATTATCTCTTATTAGAATTGGTGATGGGGCCAATACTTCTTTTTGGTATGATAATTGGCAAGGCAATAGCCCTCTAGCTATTTCCTTTCATATAGTTTTTGCTTTGGATATTTACCGTTCAGCCAATGTCAAGGATCGTTTTTTAATTGGTTGGAACACGGATGATCTTAGACGTATGCCTAGAGGTGGTATTGAAGAAACTCAATGGCTCTGTTTTTTGGAGGCGATGCAGGGTGTTCAGTTACAGCAGGTTTCGGATAGACTGGGTTGGTCTCTTGATAATTCTGACACTTTCTCTGTTTCGTCTGTACGGTATGCGTTGGATAGTGGTTTGGTTCCTTCGGGGGATATGGGTACACGTTGGAATAATTGGGTTCCTATTAAACTCAATATTCTAATTTGGAGGATTCAACTTTCTAGTATTCTGACAAGGGAGAGATTATCGATTAGGGGTATTATGGTTCCTTCTATCATGTGCCCGATTTGTATGGGTGCAGCGAAGACTATTGATCATATTTTTGTCGGTTGCCCTGACTTGAGAGATATTTGGGTTAGGGTAGCTATATGGTGGGGTTTATCTCTCCCAACTCAGATCTCGGTGCAGTCTTTAATCAACTAGACGGATGAGGTAAATTTGTGTAGAGGTCAAAGAAAGGCGTTTGATGCGGTCATTATTACTTCCTTCTAGTGTTTATGGAATTTTCGTAATACTTCTATTTTTGGAACGGTTTTACCCAAGAAGTTGATTCTATTTGATGAAGTTGTTGAGAAATCTTTTTTTTTCTAATAGATGTAGTAAGGTAAATTTACGTTGGACTGAGTGGCTTCATAACCCATCTTTAGCTACTTCTATGATGTAATCTCTACCTAGCTTCTTGCTAGTTTTTTCTTTTTAATAAAATTCTGCCGTTCAAAAAAAAAAGAGTTTATTATGTTTAATTATTTATAATAAGTTATTTTGTATATGGTTAATGTTCAAATTGCATAATTACCTGAAATATGATTCCTTAAATTTTTGCATAAAAGAATTTATAGTTAAATAATAACCTCTTGTAGTGTTTGAATGTTGTTATTAGTCAAAAAAAAAAAAAAATTAAAAGAGATAAACTCATAAACCAAATTTTTGTATAAATGGTATGATTTTTTTATATTACTATTCGGTAGAGTACAAAAAATATTTGGTTGCAATTCTTGAAAGGTATCCAGCCTAAAAACATGTCTATATCCATAATACAACCAAAGAGGGTAGTTGGCAGTTTCTTGGCCACACCAAAAGAACACAGGATTTTCTTTATTTATTTCCATAAAAAAGCAAAGCCAATTAATGAACTAATTATAAGGAAACAAACATTTTTGGCGGTTATATTTAACTGATATTTACTAACTGGAACTCATTTACAAAGTAAATCACAAAAACATAAAAACAAAGTTTCCATCAAAATAATTATGTACGAAGGAGATAAAAACAAATGAGGTTTGAAAGTATATTTTGATTGATACAATACACAAATAAAAATTATTAGAAAGTTAAAATAATAAAAAGTAATATTAATAAAAATAAAAACTATAAAAAAAATATGTAAGAAACCAAAACGTAACTTTGATGCGCGGGGTAACAAATTTGCAATTAGTATATAGTGCGATTTACAAATGTCAACAGTCCATATATATCACAAAGACGATTACACCATATAAAGTATGCCATAAAATTATCGAAATAAAGTTTCGATCAAAATAATTATGTATGGAAAAGACAGATGAAAATAAATTTTGAAAGTATATATCTTAAGGAAATTAATTAAAACCAAAACTATAAAAAAGATTTATGTAAGGACAAAAACGTAACTTTAATGCTCGAGTTAACTCCTTTGTAATTTGTATATAAAATATAATTTACAAATGTCAAAGTCTACATATATCACGGTGACGATTATATTTTCAAATGGACCACAAAAACATCAAAATAAAGTTTCAATTAAAAAAATTATATGTGGAAGAGGTGGACGGAAATACGACTTGAAAGTGTATATTAAGGAATTAATAAAAAAATATAAAAAAAAATTATATAATGGACCAAAAACATAACTTTAAAATATAGTAAAAGCCTCAATCATAATTTATATAATACCAATAATTTAACTTTTAAATCAAAATAATCTTATACGAAAAGTATAAACATCAAAATCTATTATTATAAAAAGACAAAATCTTTATTTATAGACAAACTTATTTCATAATTGTTTATTAAAATAATGACTTGATCTGTATTTAGTAACTTATATTCTAAATTTAGAAAAAAAAAGAATAGTATATACTCCTCACAAATTCATTTTGCAATTTAATATATATATATATATATATATATATATATATATATATATACTAAAATCTATCGTATTAAAAAATATATATCTCTTATAATAAAACTTATTTAATTGTAACGGTCATACCGTTTGTTAAAATGTGACTTAAGATGATATATATATACTACTCCTATTCATTTTTATATATAAATATGAAATAGGTTAGTGTTTAGCGTCATATACAAGCATTAGGTCATGACAAATTTTTTAGAACCATGATATTTTCAATGATACTTCGTAAGGTACCTTCTAAAATATACTTCCTAATGGATTTTTTAGGAGGTGTTCAGAAAAATATCATAACTACCAATAAGGTAGTAACTGTGTCTAACTTGACAAACTAATATTTCATTGTTCTGCTCTAATTTATGAATATTATATGAGAAAATAATTTGTTAGGGTAATT